CCCCCCCCCCGATAAAGGGATGAACAGCTTTATGAAAGGACTCATAGCGAGGGAGGGGGTAAAAATCGAAAGAGAGAGAGAGAGAAGATAAGCTAAGTGAAGGTAAAGGGCAAGATTTGCGGGAGAAGGAGAGAGGAAGAGAGTATGAGAGGGAGGCAAAGAGAACAGGGAGAGAAAAAGAGAGAGAGAGCAAAAGACGAAAGAGGTACATAGAGAGAGGGAAAACGGCTAAAGACAAGGAAAGGGAGGAATGTTGGGCAGAAAGAGGAACAAAAGGGGAGGAGGGCACTTACGGAGTGAACGCTCGTCCTTGAATCGAGCGCAGAGACCCCCTCACGACGTTCTGATTTCCGTCTTTGGGGATACGTAAGGACACGAGTCTGCRATCYTTCRTTTTKTGCTTTTGAACTWGAAAAGGGACAAATTTGYTGCGATCCGATTCCCACYTTGGGATTACGTGGAAGAACTTCTCAATTGTGACTTGTTGTTAACCTTAGGTCTCATGAGAGAGCCATTTAATTTCTTATAATGTTTTCTGCTTTGGGTTATTCGCGCTGACTGAGGCGTTGTGGGTTAGTCGGAGCATTTGAATTACGTCTACCAATTTCAACAGGTACTTGAATTCAGGTAACTTATTTGCATAGATTCCTGGACTGATACAACACGGATAAGATTGGTTTACCAGTGGGGTCAATCATACCCCTCGCTTCAGCAACAGCCTGCTGGTCACCAAGGTCCTCCGAAGCGGGCGGGGCGAGTGACAGGCGCCGTAGCCCTTGGCCTCAGTGAACAGTAGGAGCCCCCACCCGCACAACGGGAAGTGACTATCATGCTTCCCGTGTTTGTGACATTCCGTGACTTTCTGTGACACACGGACATACACAGGCACACGGACATACACAGACACACTTCCATACACACATACATACACACATACATACACAGACAGACGGACAGACAGAGACACAGACACAGACACAGACACAAACACAGACACAGACATACATTCACACATACACACATACACACACAAACAAAGACACAGACATACACAGACACAAACACAAACACTGGCACACCGACATACACAAACATACTTACGTACACACATACGTACACAGACACACGGACATACACAGACACACATACATGTCACACACACACACTGACGAACACACGGACATGCACATACACAGACACACACACAGACACAGACACACGGACATACACTGACACGGACACATACACAGACATATATATACACACACGGAGATACACACGCACAGACACAGACGCACGGACATATAGATACACAGACACACGAACAAGAGTTTGTGTTGCGGTACTGAGCGCTCGAACTCAGTGCGCTGATGTGGAAAAGCCACACGGACATACACACGCACAGACAGACACACACAGACACACACAGACACATACACAGATGCACACACACACACGGACGGACACAAACACAAACAGACACACAGACACATACACAAATGCACACACACAGATGCACACACACAGACACACACACAAACACATACACAGATGCACATACACACACATACACACACGCACATACATGTCACACACACACGGACGGACACACGGACATGCACATACACAGACACAGACACAGACACAGATACAGACACAGACACACGGACATACACTGACACGGACACACACACACACACACACACACACACACACACACACACACACACACACACACACACGATCTTGGTGGAGGACTATTCCGTCTAAGGTAAGTTGTACTCTGCCCTCCATGGCTTTGTGAATGAATGGTTCTGGGCCCTGTGATACATACAATGCTTCACACGTTTGGGA